CTCGTGACTTTTTCGTTTTTGCCATTTGACAAAAGTTAAACTTCGGCCATAAAGAGACATCATGATTTATGCAGATCGCCGAGGGACAAAGGCACGAGAGCGCGTCAGGGCAAAAATCTTTAAAAAAGGCTCGGTGGCGGCAGCGACTCATTTGCACACGATTATGCGCAGCGCGAATACGTATATATATACGTACATAAGTATACAAATGAGGAGAAGCGCCGTTTTCTTTTCCCTCTGCCTTCCGTTTAAAAAGAGAAAGAGAACAAAAAAAAAAAAAAAAAAAAAAAAAAGAGGGAGAACAGTCATCCAGCCAGACAACAGACTTATTCAGGAGAGCGGCGGGTCTCGCTCGCTGGTCTGCCGTATTATGCTAATTCCGCGAGAAAGAGATGGCCACCTCCACTTGGTCCGCCTGGGGACACATTACAGTACAGACGCCGCCGTGGGTGTGCACGCGTCCCGTGTCCAGGTCTTTATCTTTACCCACTGCCTCTGTCTCTCGTTTCCACTTTTGGATTTCAATTTTATTCTCCGGTTTCTTGCTTCTTTTGGGCCCCCTCCCTCTTATTCTCTTTCTAATTTGGACCTGCTTAATCTTCTTACGGAGCCTTGCGCTCACGCATCGCGCTGTTCTCCATCTGCTTTTCTCTGGCGATTTGATTTTTAATTCCCCTTGGCTCCTTTTTTTTTTTTTTTTCTTAAACTCTAATGTCAGCACTGGGAATAGATTATTCAAATGAGTTCGGCCCGAGTCGGATGAAACTCTAAAAATACGTTTGAACGGGGAAAAAAGTAACTAGTAACTTTTCATTGAAATTCGCGGTGCCATTCAAGTTCTTTTGAAAGGTTTTGCCTGTAAAGTCAAATTTCAACTTCCACCAGTATTTTTCGATGCATTGGTAAGTAAATGTATAACCTCGATTTTATTGTTACTGTGCTAGAAAAGACATTTATTTGGAGACACTCAAGCCATTTGGAGAAAAAAATATGTTGGTAGTATTTAGGGACGTCCACTCGAAAGGAAAGTCTTATATTTCCTCAAATGCAAAAAGTGTAACCAGACAAACCTTCCATTTTTAGCATGAATAAATTTTTACTAGTAAAAAATTAAGCATTGGGTAAAAAAACCCAAAAATGTACAAGTATATCATGATATTTAATTTTTTAATTTTTTTTATTTTGAAACTGTAGCAGTCGTACCAAAGGGAAATCATAAATTAAAAGAATTAGTTCTCAGCTGTATTGATTTTGTGTATAAGTATTATTGTACCAACAATGTCATAAAGTTTGTAGACTGATGTACAGACATTAGAATTCAAAGAAAAACATTTTTTTTCAAACAGAATATAACAAGTTAACGTGTACAGATAATCAATAACAACCAATTCACAACAGCCTTTCCATGACAGTCCGTGTAAAACCAAGAATCTTTTTGATCTGATTTCTCATAAACCATGAAGTTAAGCATCCCGATGCTGTTCACCTGTCATCTTGTAATGGTTATCGACGTATTGTTTCATTATTTTGCCTTCTTACGTAATTATATTATAAGAAATGAAAATTTTTTATCATTTTTAAGCTCACGTTTATTTTAAGACTAAACATGAAAGCATACGAGAAAAAATCAGTTTGTATATTTATAATATCTTTATACAGTAAACATATAAACTAATGTATACAAGTTCTACACTAGATTACATTTTTTTTATAATTAGTCGCAATTCACGGTTACTACCTTAATATTTAAGATAATAGAAAGTATAAAAACCAAAAAACAAAGTGTCACGTTGGTTATTTATCTTTTTGAAAACAAGCATATGAAATTATGTTCCATGAAATATGCATATTCTGTCGAAGCTCCTGTAAAGTGGATGAACCCGCGATTTACATTTATAGAAACAATCGAGAAAACAATGACGAAAAATAAAACAAAAGAGAAAAATGTCGCGTGAGTTGCACTGTAAGGAAGCAAGCTGACCGGGTGATGCATTTCTCTGAAGAATAAAAAGAAATCGCGTTCGACAGTGAGGGGATACAGAAAAGCTCACGCTTTGAATTTCGACAAGCTGCCGAGATCTCTCGTACCTCGCTTCCTTCTTTTGACGTCATGTGCCGTTTTATTTCGACTTTGCGCCATCCGTGGATGAAGAAAAAGGCCGAAACCGAGTGATCTTCGACCCGAAGGTGCCTTTTGACTTTGTAATGCAGTCTTTTGTCAGCCGCAGCCACGTCATGTGCCGCGAAGATGATCTTTTTCTTTTTTTTCTTTTCTCATCCGGCTGTTTACTGCTCGTTCGCGGTTCTCGGTTTTATTGCCAGGCGCCGAGATTTTTCCATTCCACGACGCATGTCCCCGATTTTAATTCATGCTCTTCGAAAAAGTTGGACGATTTTTTCGCTCAGTCGCTCGTGCGAGTGCTTTTCTTTCCATTTTCCATACACATGAAACGAAACACAGTTTTTCCACAGGATTATCGTGGGTATCAAACTTTGAATACGAAGTAACATATTTCTTCCACGCGATTAATATGGAAAAAGGCTCCTCTCAATTCCATCTATCGCAAAACATCATCTCACTCCCAAATCTAGTGGAGGTCCCGAAAAGCTTGGGGCCTTAAAAAATATCAATTTCAAATGCGATTAGCTCCGAGTCGACTTTGGGCTATCTCTCTCACCGCTCTTTTTTCCCCCCGAAGAGGAAAAAAAATACATCCTCAGAAGGAAGCACCCTTTTATCTGCACCTCGTATCTGATGGCGTCGCGTATAAAATTTGCGAAACGCCTCCTGAAATCAGAGCTCTGGCGGGGGGGAACACAGCCGCAAAAGAAACGAGCGAGACAGCGCCACTCCTTAAACGCGTAGGCTGAATTATATCACGGAGGCGCCGTGGCGGTAGCAGCAGCAGCAGCTTTTTTTATCCACCCAAGGATCTTCAGAAGCTGGCTGGCGCTTTGCTTTTTTTCCCTCTTCTTTTTTTGATACAAAAAAACAAAAGCGGATGGAGGAAGGTGTGTGCGAGAGAGGGAGAGGAGGGCGAGACAGAGGTGAGGAAGGAAGGCCCGACGAAACACGAGGAAGCAAAATAAAAGACACGGCAGCCGCACGAGCGCTCCCCTCCCTCCACCCCTCACTAGAGCATCCCTCCACCTCTGCTGCTTGATCGCAGATCTCGGTCGCATATTTAGCCATCCCTCTGTTTCTTTGAGCACACACTCTGTTCCACGCTCTCGGACACCTTTGTACAGAAAGTATATATATATATGATTATGCGCAGCGCGAATACGTATATATATACGTACATAAGTATACAAATGAGGAGAAGCGCCGTTTTCTTTTCCCTCTGCCTTCCGTTTAAAAAGAGAAAGAGAACAAAAAAAAAAAAAAAAAAAAAAAAAAAAAAAAAAAAAANATATATATATACACGTAGAGCTAGCTGTAACCAAGAGAGAGAGGGCACATAAAACGCAGCACGTGGTGCCACGAGTCCTTATTTTCTTCGTGTACGCAATAAACTCCCTTTTTTTATACGCTAACACCGAGAAGTCCTCTTTCTCTTATTTCCTCCCCTCTTGCTCTCCTTGAGTATCGCGGCGCGAACGAAATAAGCCACTGATGCTAGGCCGTGTTTGCCCTCGGTTGGAAAAAATATTCGCTTCCTGTGATGCACACTGGCACCTGTATCTGTTTCGCTGCTGGCACTTGGTAGCAGCGCCGCGATTTTCCACGCTCGATAACCGAGCGGGGAGAATACGACGTAAGAAGGACACGTGAGGTACACACGAGCTTTGCCCCCCGGCTTTTTTATGCACGTAATACCTTTCGACTACGACCATCCGACATTACTTGCCTTCTTTTTTTTCGTACCATTTTTCCTCTGTCTACGTGTATATACCTCGTTCCTCGCGGCTATAAAACTCCGGGAGGATGCTAATCCCGCAACTAGCGCGTCCACTTCTATTTTTGGCACCTTTGTTCCTCGTGACTGTCATGCAGTGGTCTCTTTATTTTTTTTCCGTGTCTCCCTTCGTCCTTCGGCTAGCTCACTTGTATGGAAAGGGAAGGATTTTTTTGCTTACTCAGTAAGTAGAGGAATTCTCTGATATTTTAAGATTTTTCTTTTTTTTACAATACAGTTACATTAAATATTTTTATTAAACTTACATAAAGTATCAAAGCATTTCGTACGCAACCTCGTGTTTTACTCGTTTAGTTTTGACTGACTTTGAATGAGAAGGAAATAATAGTGATTGGACAGAATAATAAACACGTTAACTATTGTATGAATTTTCGTCTTCAAATAAATGTTATCGCTGGACATAAAGTACTGTTCAGGGCTTTTCCGTCAATCAATTATTTCATTTATGTAATCCAAAGGATTTATCGATTACGCACAATTCAATAAGTTTTTGAATCAGTAATAACAACTATTTCGGTTTTTCAATAAAACCCGACTGGTTGTAGGGTGTAGAAGAAAAAATTATGAATTCCAGTGGTTTTTAAGATGTTCAACAGACTTAACCAGGTACAGGCTTTAAAGATTATCAAAAAATATTTTTTTTTTTAAGTTTTTGAAGTTATTCATATTTTTAATATCCATCTGAAACCTTTAGTACAGTATATTCTTCAGAAGTAATGTAATGATGTCTATTTAAGGGTTTTCAGAAAAATCTGATTACTTTAATTGTACACTTGATGTGCAGAGACTATATTATGTGATGTAAATTCAACAAAAAACTGAACCCTTCTAAACTATAATTTTGTTTGGTTTTAGTTTGTCTTTTATAGATGAATCATAAAATTTTTTTTCACTCTCTCGAAAATTTACCAAAATGCTTCCACATCTTATACATTCTATACCCAACAACTAATTAAAAAAAAATTTGTATACATGTGAGAATTCGCATCTCAAAGAAGGTGCAACCATTTGTAGCTCGCCACTTTACTCTAAAATCTTGTTTGTCTTTTCAAATAAAAACAGAAAATCGTTTGATTCCAGGCGGGTTTTCTACACGGTGAACACGGCGAGGCCTGGCTCGAGCCAGTAGCTCGCGAGCACGAGCACAGGTATCGAGATTCAGCAGCAATGCTGGGCCACGAGTCGAGTAGGCCACACTTGTTGTTCCGAAGGGCTCGCGAGAGTAAGCTGCAGGTATCCGAGCGACAGCAGGAGCACCGAAAGCCGACCCTAAAGGATACCAAAGGTGATGGTGGTGCTGCTGAAGGTAGTAGTGGAAGACGCAAGCCACGACGAAAAAAGAAGAAGAAGCACGAAAGGACCTGTGGCACGCGCGGTGAGCATTTAAATAGGTACTCATTCGAGAGTTTTTGGAGAGTAGACGATGGTGCAGGCATTTTTAGGAATAAGAACTTAAAAGTTCCCTAAAAATGATCTTTTGCGAGTCAGACCACGGGAACGGTGATTTTCATTCACACCGTGGAAAAGTTCGTCAACACACTTCCCTCATAGTATGACACCCCGTATCTTTTAAACTTTATACCTATAATAGTGAATAAATAAAATCTTATTCCAAATGCAGTCCGTACAACTTTATTTTAAATTTATTTTTAAATAAAATAATGAGTATTTCTCGAAATTTACTGGGTAAAAAATTTATTATTGCGTCCAAGAAAATACTATTTTATCCAAGCTTCAAAAAGTAGTTTGCTTAAGAGCCATGAAGCTTGTAAAAGAATTACCATTGGCATTTTGTTTTTAATATTCCAAAACGATACAAGTTATCAGTATTTCTGAACATTGAGGCAAGTAATTACGGAAAGTTTAAAAAGTGTCTTTTGAAATCTTTAGATCTTAATAATACGTAAATTGATGTTATACATGGCAACTAAACTTTTGTTTAATTTTAATTTTTCAAGATTTCCAGTTTACCTATAGAATTGATGGTCAGAATACTTCTGATTCGTGTATCTATTGGTTTCTCCTACAAAACAAACCACGTTTTTCGATAGAAAAAAAAGGTTTATTCGCCAACAAGCACGATCTATTCATCAAATTCACATACCACAACGAGCATACCCGAAACTTGGCAAAAACAAATTTTCTCCCTCCATCGCTGATAAAATTGATCATCTCGTCAAAGGGCCCTCATGAATCATTCAGCCAAACTGCACGCACGAGAGACGGAAGGAGAGCCAAATCTGAAATGAAACTTGCAGTTTCGATTTATACGCGGCGGTTGCAGTTCACCGAAAGCACTTCTGCCGCGATGTAAAACATAGCCGGATTATACGACCCGAATAAATAAATCCTCGATATCACGACCGACTTTGCCGGTGAAAACGAAAAAGGGATGATTATTCGTAGTCCGTTCCGCATTAAATTCCCGTGGCTCCTTCTTTCCGACTCGCTCGTACACTATACCAGTCGAAAAAAAACAAGAATGTATAGTGCTGCTGACGCATAAAAAGGCAAAAAACCGACCAAAAGCTCTGTCCATTTAAAATTGAAGGTAAACCCCGAAATATTCCAACGAAATCCTTATAACGTGTACCTTTTTCGCACTCGACCACGTGCACTCCGCGGTAAAGCTGAGCATCCGCCTTTGCATACAATTACCCGGCTTGACGAGGCTCCCATCGTACACGCGGGGACTATCCATCAAGTTGGCGAATGAAATCTTAATTATCGGCTTGCTATCGGCCAATCTGCATGAATTAGCCGCACAGAGGCTCGCCTCTTTTCGTACACACATCCACTTTGGAAGCTCTGCGCGTTGCACGTACCTCCACACGTTGGGATTGAAGGTAAAAAAAAAAAAAGACAAAGTAGAGATCCAATGGAATTCTGGTAAGGGGGGGGGGGTGTGGAATGGATACCGAGCCCAGTATTAGAGACCTCGTCAGGGAGACTCGATAAGCGCGTGCGCGCGTTTATTTAGGGCTGGGACGAGATTCGAGTATTCATGCGCTGGAAGTATAACGCACACGTGCGAGCGTTATGTAAATATAATTATTTACGGCGGCGCTCGAGATAAACAATAATTATGGCCTCGTGTTTACATAATTGCTGTGGTATGAAATTAAGATAATTGGTACAAAGATTCCGATGTTGATATTGTTGGGGTACGAAGGGAAAGTGCGCCGCGTGGAGATATACGGACTGCCAACATGTACAGCGCAGATTACTCGTTTGTTTGTTTCTCATGGCTTTTGGATAAATAAGTAATATTTCAACATTGCGGTGTATTGTCAATCCAAAAGTACCTCACTGTCCACGGAATTTATATCGTTTTCAGTGATAAAATTGTCATGACTTTTCTCTCACGTTTCATGGATTGAAAAAAAAAAACCTTAATCGACTCTACACACTTTATAGTAATTGCTCACTGGTCCATAAGCTAGTAAGCCTCATTTACGCAACTTCACTTAGAGAAACGGCAAAGAGTCTCGAGCCATACTCGTCGACTACCGTAATAGCAATATAGGGAATAGCTACACTCAGATGCAGTAATTAAACGTCAATCGTGGAATTTGCAAAATCCCACCGAGCTCTTATCTAATGGACGCTTAGGACTTGTATAGAGCGATCATTTTTCTATGACTCATCCATGGAAAAATATCACGCTGTAAACATCACTCGCAACGGCTGGCTCGATGAATTAAAACTTTCGCAACTAACTAGACTTTATTTCGACAGTGTAACCGTGCCATAAAGTATACTGACATAGTACCACGTTCGTATATGTGTTGCGACATTGACACCAAGTGGGATCATTTAACAGCAGGTCCAATCAATTGTCATTCCAAGCAAGGGCAAGTACTTGGTCCGCAAGACCAACAAAAGGTCTCTCGCCTCGAACGCGCGAATCGCCTACTCCCTAATAAGCTCAAGACCAAGTCAACATAGGGTAGATCGAGCCCCTCTTCCCTTCTCTCAGTCATTTCAACTAACTCGGCTGCACTTTTGTTTGTCTTCCCGTTCCATCTCCTCTCCAACCCCCGCAGAACCTCGACGGCTGACCGAGACTCTGCTGGAATGGCAAACACAGCCGGGCTTGGTGCAAGTTCAGGGTCGGGGTCGCCGTCGGCAATTGACGCGCCAGCAACACCTGCCCGGCCACCACTGGCAGCGCTCCAAAAGATCGGTAAGCCGGCCGCGGCACGTGGAGGCCCTCGTGGTCGCCGACACGACGATGATGGCCTTCCACCAGGACGGCGACGTCGAGACGTACCTGCTCACCATCATGAACATGGTTTCGGCGCTCTACCTCGACCCGACCATCGGCAACTTCATCAACGTCGTCGTCGTGAGGATTATCCTGATGGAGGAGGACGAGGCCGAGGTGAGCGTAGCAACGGTGCACCACCACTTATTGCATGTACGTCGCGTCAGCTCTTTCCCTCTCTCCTTTCGTTTAAGCTGATGCGATTACGCCGCGCGTTAATTGATTCAGAGAGGGGGTGAACCGAGAGGCTTGCACGGGAGCTCGCGTAAGGCTCTTGTCACGCTTGTCCGCGGGACTTGTTTCAATTTTGTATTTTTCACATTCCGCTCGGATGAGCGAGAGACTTGGGGTGACAGGAGCTCTCGCCACCCGAGGGATAGAGACACTTTGTCTGGGTGCTTTGTCGAGAACCACGAGGTTCTTTGCACAAGTGAATTCGTATTGAGGAAATTCGGGGTAATTTTACGGTAAAAGTGGTGATAAATTATGGACCAAGTGCCATTTTAGTGTAATTTGACAAGTTTTACATTACTTTACGGTAATACATTTCGAGCTCGTCTGGGCTTTTGATCATGTGGTTACAATAATTTTTACCTTCGATAAAACAAAATACGACATAAAGCATATAGGTAGTATGGATCGAATTATAGATCGAAAATGTTCTCATCTTATATTTTCTTGGTATTAGGTATTGGCCCGTACGTTTTTTCATGGCAAAAATGATCAAAGTCTAAAAACGACAGAAAATTCGCTTAAACGTCATAGAAGGTGTAATCGATTTCAGCATGACCATTACTTTTACCATGAAAATTACAGTAACTCTCTGCTCCGCATGCTCAAATGACCAAACCGATAGCCAAAACATAGATACCGTACCCTGAAATAACGAATTTATTCTCGCAGTTGGACATTTTGTTTTCAGCAGGGCCTAAACATCACCATCAACGCCGACAAGACACTCTATAACTTCTGCAAGTGGCAGTTGAAGCTCAATCCATCGGACGACTCGCACCCGAATCATCACGATGTGGCAATCCTCGTGACCAGGGAAGATATTTGCTCACGGGCTAATACACCCTGCAGTACACTGGGCGTGGCCCACGTGGCGGGTATGTGCCAGTCCGATCGCAGCTGCAGCGTCAACGAGGACAATGGGATCACTTTGGCCCACACCATCACCCACGAGCTGGGGCACAAGTGAGTTTGTGTTACTTTGCTCGACCGGCTTTTTGGGATTGGGTGCTTTGCGGGGAAAAGAGTGTGAGTGTTGCTTACACTATTTTTCATTGCTGATGAAATCGGTGAAGAGGTTCGATTATGCGTGCATGTATTTCAGATGCCAAAAGTGCGGGTGAAAAGTCTGATGCGACAGAGTGGTGTGTTTTATAGTACTCTTGTCCTATTTGATTGATGCAAAAAATTTCAAATACTTTGGTTCTACCTATTTATAAGATTTTTAAACCAAAAACTTTGTACATTCAAAACCAGTTCAATTCGCATTTTGTGCTATTTTAAAGGATTTTACCTTTTATTTTCTAAAAAGGGATGTATACTGTAAAGCTCGGCATAGAATAAGCCAGGGGATTGAGCCCTAAAATTTGTATCGCACACCGTCTATGCTAAGCTTTACAGCATACATCCCTCATTGTAAGTTTTCAATATCACAACTGGTTCAAAATTGTAATGCCAATGGTAAGCAATTCTGACGCTTTTTTTGTACAATTAATAAATTGGCTGTTCAAAGCATGCTTAGCATTTTTTATAAATGCTTCCGATGTACCAATCCAAATGACAATCGAATTTTATTTTTATCTTAGTTTTGGTATGTACCATGATACAGAGAAAATCGGATGCAGCAAAAAGGAGGGAGATAAGCTACACGTCATGACACCTTCGTTCGAGGCCGATACAGTGGGCGTTGCCTGGTCCAAATGTTCCAGACGAGACATCACGAATTTCTTAGAGTACGTCGCAGCGCGTTTGGTACATACTAATGTCATTGAGTCAATTTTGTTTTTTATTGAGAATTTTTTTTTTTTTTTTTTTTTTTTTTTTTTTTTTTTTTTTTTTTTTTTTTTTTTTTTTTTTTCATTTTTTTCATCTTCATTAATTTGTTATTGATGATCAACTTTATACTGATTTCTTACTTTTGACTATGCTTGTATTTTTTTCATTACAAGAAAAATGTTGGTTCGATGATTTTAAGGAATATAAAGAAAAATTTTCCTCTAGACTATTTCTAAGAGTTATTTGCACTTTTCTTTCAAGACTATTTATTTATTTTTTTTAAATTATCACTGCCTGCATCCTCAACACCTTAATATATGCTTTGTAATGTGCATGGAAAATTGTAACAGAATAAAAAACCATTAGAAATACAAGGGCATACTGATTTGATACAAATAATGAGCAGAGAGTGTACTTACAAAAGTTTGACTTCCACCGAGATATAGGGTTTGATTTTTCCTTCTCGACCATAGTCAACACACTGACTGAATGAACAGTGATTTACGTAATAAGTGCAAAAAATACGATCTCGACAAGTGGTGATGGGCACGCACGAGTGGATGGGGTTACTGGGGAACGGGTGCCAGTTGGATCATACGAGTGTAGCACAAATGCGATCATACGACACCAGTCACTGGCACTATCCACGAGTGTAAGCCTATCACCACACGCGTGGTAATCGTTTTGCACGAGTTGTGCACAAGATTTTTCATCACATGTGCGTTTAAAAGTTGGCTTACATGTACATTGCGTCGAGTTAGTTGATGTCTTAACTTATTCTTTCACATACTTACTACACAATCATCTTAAAAAAATTATTATACAATGAAAACCATTAAAAAATTTTTTGTTTGCTGGTAAAAGTAGACGTTAGTGGTTTAATACCCTAAAAATATGTAAACCAACAAGTATAATTATCTTAGTGCACCATTTATAACAACGGTACCCATATGGAGCATTAAGAAGCACTAACGTAATGATCTATAAAAAATGTGACCTCTTATTTATTCACAAAAAAAACATTTCTCAATTTTGAAGAACATTTCAATAGCAATATCAACCTATAAGCTTGAAATATCCAATTAGCAACGGAACGAAAATAAAACCTGGCGTCTGCTAATTAATTGCGATATTCGATGGAAAAGTATTTTAATATTCCACCTCCAAAATTTTGCGCGTTTCTCGTTACTGATATAAATTTAATCAGCGCTCGCGCACAATGTACAAATCCACCTCACACCTCGGAACCGAGTTCCACCTCTGTCTTCATTTCTCAGCATCGAATATTAAATTTTTAATTAACCATGTTCCAGCCAAGGCAAGGGGGAGTGCCTCGAAGACGAACCGGCTGATAATGACTACGCTTATCCAGATCTGCCTCCGGGAGCCATGTACAACGCGGAACATCAGTGTAGACTCCAATTTGCCGTTCGAGAGGCATCCGTCTGCTCACCTTTGGAGGAGGTACGTAACAATGGAGAGAGCGAAAAGAGTAAAGATCCTTTATTACTTCCCTAATAAAAATCACGATTCTATATCCAGCTGGAGCTCATAAGGACTGTCAATATTAATCAAAAACTTTTCCTTATTTTTCAATTGCTTGACAAAAGTAAGCCGACACAATGAGACAAAGATCACCAATGTAAGTTGTACATGGGATGACTGTTTTCATTCGTAGATTTGTTCGAAACTTTGGTGCGTAGTCGACGGGGTGTGCACGACGATGTTGCATCCAGCAGCCCCGGGCACTCACTGTGGCAAGCACATGGTTCGTTGACAATAAACGTAAAAGTTTCACAATAACGAGATGTCAAATGTTTCATTCCGAAGTATATTTTGCTCATAACAGTGGTGTCAAAACCAAGAGTGCGTGCCGATAGTGGACCGTCCGAATCCCGTGGACGGCAGCTGGGGCGAGTGGGGCAGCTGGAGCGAGTGTTCGCGCAGCTGTGGCGCCGGGGTGTCGATAATCGAGCGCAAGTGTGACCAACCGGAGCCGGCGAACGGCGGAAAATTTTGCATCGGCAAGCGCCGGCGCTACAAAATTTGTAACACTCAGGCGTGTCCCGAAGGCGTGCCCAGCTTCCGCAGCGTGCAGTGCAGCGCCTACAACGGGAAGGAGTACAAGGGCAAGAACTACACGTGGCTGCCGTACTTTGACCAGAGTAAGTTATGATTTGGGGTGTTCGCAGGGATTTTTTTGCGTTTTAAAATGGGGAATTGCAAAATTTCATCTGTATCGGTTTTATCGGCGTTTGATTGTACGATTCACTTGATGCGTCGATTATATAACTGTCGAAGCTTTGGGATTTCATACAATATTCTTATTCGTAAACAAAAATACGTGACGTATTTTTTGTAATACAGTGTGTGGAGAAAGATATTTTATGCACTGTTTCTCATATGTGAAGCCCAATTTTCTATACTCAATACAGTGGGGGAAATATTAACTTTTCGCAAATTGTTACAAAAAATCTTGTACGCAACTTGTGCGAGACAATTCCAACATACTTTATGGCCGATGCAAGAAACTTCAGCCACTTATGCAAGTTCATACCGCAATCGTGCAGAAAATCGTTTTTCCAGACTTTTGATGTAAATATCTGTATTGCAATCGAGAATGATTGATAGCTATTTAGGATGCTTAACTCAAGTATGCTTTATACAAAAAAAAATGTGTACGTCTCTTGAACGAATATCATATTCCACAGCTGGTACGTTGAAAATTTTTGAAAAATTACGAACTATTATTATTTTTAAGAAATATATTGATGGAACGTATACGAGAAAGCAAATACTCTTGAAATAATTGGCAAACTGATTCGATATTGATGTTATCTCCTCGTGACATCAAGTATCAAAATTCTGGAAATTTCGCGTAATGAAACGTATAAACATTCAATAATTTCGTTTCAAACACACTTGGTAATCCGACATGAGCTCTTCTCATCGTGGCAGTTGAAAGGATTATGTATTCCATGTGTGTAATAATTAACGATAAGGAAGAATAGCTTGGATAATTAAATTAGCACAAGAATTCTCCAATTTAATCTCAATGATTGAAATCTGATCGATTAATACGAAAAGTTCGTAACTCCAATAACGTATGAAATTACAAATACACATTTCTCTTGTCAAGTGCACTGAGAAAAGTGGTGTTAGAAAAAGAGTTACAACTACCTATATTAAAAATTACTATATTTTATAGGAAAGCTGAGACATACTCGACACATTATGAAAATTACTATGCNAATTTGTGTATATCTTACCGTACAAATAGTACCATAAGGTTACTCCGATGAACTTGGTTTCAATCACACTGAGAAAAGTAGTATTAGAAAAAGTGTTACAACTATATTAAAAATTACTATATTTTATAGGAAAGCTAAGACATACTTGCCATATTATTGAAGTAACCTCGCTGCACAGTTAACCAGATAATATTAAAAATTACTATATTTTATAGGAAAGCTGAGACATACTCGCCATATTATAAAAATTACTATGCTACATAGTAAAACCAGATTATATTAAAATTTGCTATTTTGACATAAGTAGTAATTTTTACTTTATTCAGAAAGAATTTTTATGTTCAAGAGAAGAAAAATATATGACATATATATATATGTAGAGTTAAATGTACATAGATATGTTTTTCTTGTTGCACATAAATGTTGATGTATTTTAAAAATATTCTTATTTTCAAAAAGATCTGCTGGGATGAGGATTTAAACCTTTATCCTTCTGCTTCCGAGTCAGGCTCCGTAACCACTAGACCATGAGACAAAGTACATGTGGGAATGTGTACTGTTTATCATGCACACAATAAAGTTACAAAATTACAGGGTTTCCTGTATAGACCAAGGTGTTAACAACGGATAACTATAGTCGATTCAAAATTAATTGTCGGCACGTATCAGTTTTTAACCCTGATAAATCAAATAATATGTTCCTCTTAATATTATTTACATTCGTATAACCTTAAATTTGAAACTCAATAGGCGTGTATACCTATAGACATCGTACGAAATTATTTTCGAACATAGTAATTTTTACTATACTGAATAGCAATGCAGAGGAATGAGAAATTTCACTATGACACATAGCAAATTCTATACTTTAGAATGTGGTACGTTTTAAAACGATTACAATAAAATTTACTATGTTGTGTAGGAAAAATTGTACTATCACAATTTTTACTATGTTAGACATTGTAATTTTTATTATGCCGTGGAAAAATTTTTGTACGGCTACTGCATAGTAAAAATTACCTGAAATGTAATAAAAATTATTTTAAACGTAATAATTTTGCGTCATCAGGTAAGTATAGCTCAGTTTTCCTAAAAATATAGTAATTTTTAGTACAGTTATAATAATTTTTTTAACACTACTTTTCTCAGTGTAGCAGAAAAATTCCAATATTTCAATCAGCTAAATGTATACCGACACCCGAATATCATTACGGGTCAATAAATTGTTCAACTTGGTGAAAAAATCACTTAATGAAAAATAATGTTCTGTTACAATGAGCACTACTTATTTTAATGTGTTATCTCTGCAACAGCCGAACCGTGTGAGCTCTACTGCACGGACACCGAGGAGAGCGTGATAGTGCCGTGGGGCGATGCTGCCCTCGACGGAACGCCCTGCAACGTAGGCACAAGGGACATGTGCATCGCTGGTATATGCAGGGTAAATTTGCCAACTAGGCCTTGATTGTATACTATCGAAAATTCTTGTTGCATCTTGTCTCAAGCTCTATGGTGTGATATTGTGGGCAGAAAGTCGGCTGCGACTGGGCCGTGGACTCGGACGCGACGGAGGACCAGTGCGGCATCTGCCACGGTGACGGAACCCAATGCGTTACCATTCGAGGTTCGTACGACAAAAATGAGGGCCCGGGGTACAGGGAGGTCGTGGTCATCCCTGAGGGCTCGCGTAACATCAAGATCGAGGAGGTTGGCAACAGCAAGAATTACATCGGTATCGGCCGACCGGACTTGGACGAGTACTTCTTGAACGGGAAACGGTACGTGCCAACTTTCGTTGTATTGAAAAATATTAGAGGCCAGTTTTATTTTACGGTTATTAGTGACTTTTCGTGCCTTGCACTTCTTTGATAGTATGCGTCCTAAGACGTTGTTTTCCCTAATGTCTTGATGGATAATACAAAAAAGCCAAAAATTAAATTATCTGTTTCACTGCACATTTTTTGACACAAAGTTTTGGAAACAGTGAGTTAAAGTTATTTTTCTAAACCATAACTCCTATTGTAAATTCTACGAGTACATTCTTAAATCATGTGGAAATGCCATTAAGTCACCCAGTATTACAGTAAAGAAAAGGGATATATCATGGTATAACTTCAAAGTTAAATGTCTTCATGATAAAATTAGAAATCCTTAGTAAGCTTTATACGTAAAACGTAAAAAGATTGTATTGTTCAAATGGGGAGTGAACTTTTATCTTTAAAGTAAATTAGTGTGGCTTATAATAGTAAAATTTTACTAGCTTTGTGAAATTCAGAATAAACAAAAGAGTTTATTACACTTTAATTACAACTTACTTAGTTATTTGTACTAGGAAGTTGTCTTTCTCAAGTCTTACAAATTTTATGATTAGGATAATACTGTAAAAAAACTTATTTCTAGGCATAAAAACTATTGAGGAATTTTATTAGGATAACTCAATTTTTTTTAAATATTTTCATAGCTTTTTTGGTTAAAAGAGCCAATTTAGAAACGTGTAAATTCTCTACTTTTATAATACTAAATCAAATAACATTAACCGAGTAAGCATTAAAAACTGACAGCGTACGAACAGAAACAATAACACTGATAATGTAAAATATTCGAACCACACTCATTTCAGGATGAATAATTTTTATGTATAGTTTATACATAGTTTATCTATAGTTTTTTGTAAATAAGTAAGAAATCATTTGGATAGTTTGATGATGCGAAGAAAAAAAAATTTATTAAAGTCTCATGTAAATGCCAAAAAAATTGGCTCACCAATAACAACAACAACAACAACAACAAAATTCAATAAATGAATAAGAACAAGGAGAAGTAGAGACTCAAGCGACAGGCACGTTCTCATATTTAATCTTCTCCGGACAGGCAGATCACCTTGGCCGGGGAGTATCAGGTGGCGGGAACGCCGGCGCTCTACGAACGCGACCACGACAAGGAGAAAGTCAGAATACCCGGACCAATCAAGGAAGACATCGTCGTTTACGTGAGTGTGCTCATAAAGCGATACTATATACCCACACTCGCTCCGATACATCATTACGACCAGCGAACGCTCGATATTTTTGTTTTCCATTGGCTCCGCAAAAGGGACCGTTTGCGAGGATTTATTACCGTCGTGGCGCACGGCGATGAAAGATTCATCCGTGCTCGCTCGTGCGTGCACTCCCCCCCCCCTGTTTGGAAATTATATCTGACGATGGGAATTCGCGATCATTCGCTGCTCGCTAAATGGCTTATTGTTTGCTTGGATTCGACCGTCTGTTAATAAAATTACTGGTGGATAAGGGTGGATAGTTGTGTTACAGAGCATACCATATTATTGAGGGTGGAGCCAATAATTACGTAAATAACAACGATAGTATCATGTAGTTAAAATTTATTCAACACTATATGGGCTGTGAAAGACTCGTAATATTTAAATCATTAATTTGTTCAACATATTTAATACGTGACGAAAAATTGAATATGAACTTCCATTAGTTTTTATGCGATTCTTCAACAAAAAGCTTAAACATGTGTAAGTCTTGCCGTCATGACGCGCATGGTCTAAATGTAGTAGAAATGTTAAAATAAGTATTAATTAAATTAATAATCTTTTTTCATTTAAATTTTACTTCTCTTTGGTATTTGTTAACAATAAGATGAATAATAAGCCTATATTAGACAGTGCTGATAGCGGTAAACTTATTGCATTTTATAATTGATTTAAGTTAAGTTCAATTATAGTCTTGGTATAAATCATTGAATAAATTAAGAAGGTTTAATGATTTTCTGAAAATGCAAAGAGTAATACTTACCACAATAACTAGTCATAGTGTCAGGAGATTTTTGTAAATTTTTTCAATATTTTTAACCACAAATTTTTTTATTGATTTAGTTTTAACCCTTCAAATAAGCTGTTAAAATCATCAATGAACTAAGGTTTATTCATGTAAAAATTTAAGGTTCTTTAACACAAAAATTTGTGGCAAAAATATATTTTTTTAAGTTACATTGTTCAAAATCTGACTTCTGTCCACATTTAAAGAAAATTATTAAACATCATTCACAACCAAAGTGAGTTAGTAAGTAAATATTGAAAATTGACGTAATAGATACATTTTTTCAACGCAAGTCACACTTTCACCCAAACCACAGCGAGATTTGATCGAAGTTTTGATACAAATTAATTAGTAAGACAGTAAAAAAAAAAAAAAAAACCTACAGCTAATTTACCGTGGGCACTACCGCAACTTCGGGCTGCGCTACGAGTACACGGTGCCAAAAAGGGAATCCGGACGGGTCCCCGAGTACTCCTGGGCCTACTCGGACTGGTCGCTCTGCTCGGTGACCTGTGGCGGCGGCACCCAAATCTCGCACGCGCTCTGCCACGAGAGCCGGAGCGGCGTGGTCGAGGACAAGTTCTGCAGCGGGACCAAGAAACCCGAGGCCATGAGCCGAGAGTGCAACGCCAAGCCCTGCCCGGCCAGGTAAGTTTCTCATGCCTCCACTTATGTTTTTTTCCTCGAGTCACAATTAATTCAGTTCTCGTTTCACCCCCGGAACATAAATCCCCACCCGAAGTTTCGCGCTGCAGCAACGAAGGGGGAATTAGTTATGGAATTGTTGGTGCTCGATATTTTATCTCACGACGCGTCTTGTAAACTTTTCGAGTGGAGCACGGGTGCATGATGTACGTGCGGGTGTGTATATACGTGCAACACACGCTCATGCGTACCGGCGCGATGCTCGTGAAACTTGGGCCGAGCGAGAAACACCGGGGCTCGGGAACTTTCTTAATTGAATCAGGGAATTTCGCGAGGGAGACGGATTTATTCGGTGACCCGTATTTTTCGGATAAAAACCGCGGAATGCAACTTTTCCGATGTTCAGCACTCGGCCGAGTGCCATATGAATTTTTATCGACCTCCAATTATCGACTCCGACAGCGCGACTTGTGTACACCCTGGGAAAGTTCACCCGATGAAACGATGTTATGCTCCCCCTAAAACCTTTGGGCCATACATAAACAAGGCGGTTGCAAACAGATGGTGGACGGGGCCGTGGCAGGCGTGCCCGGTGATCTGCGGCGAGGGAGCGCTGCGCAAGCGGTCGGTCATGTGCGTGGCCGCCAGCCGAGGTGAGGACCAGCCCGAGCTGGCTCTGCCGGACCAGGACTGCGACAAGGACGCCCGGCCCGAGGAGGTCGAGCCCTGCCCAGAGCTGCCGGTCTGTGAGCCGAGCAGCGAGGCGCCCCTCATCGTCTACGCGGACGAGAAGAGCGCGGCCTTTTACAACGTGAGCGAGCCGGCCGGCTCGACGACCCTGGATGGATTGGGCAGTACCGAGGTGGAGCCGGAGATACTCGAGTTCGACAACGTGGTAGACGTGGACAATCCAGAGGAGAGCTCCAAGTACAACGCCAAGCCCAAGTGGCAGGTGTCCAAGTGGAGCTACTGCTCGGCTGGAAGGAAGACGAGGAAGGTGTTTTGCTCAGTGGCAGTGGATTCGGAGGCCTGTGGGCTGGAGAACAAGCCGGCCGACACCGAGGAGTGCAGAGCTGGGAAATGGGTCACGGGTATGTTTTTTATTAGTTGGGGAGGAGACGATCGGGGATTGGTTTCGCGCGCTGCAGGGTTGCTGGCTTCTGAGGGTGTCTGCACACCAAGACTCGTGGTAGGAGTTTTCGTGAGAAAGTTTGTTTGGAAATTTATTACTATACCAACATATTTTTTGAAAGCTTCCCTTTTAGAGTTTTTGTGTGATTTTAATTACATCAAGTTTTGTCGCAATCGGGAAATTTATTCTCTTCGTCAAATCAGGAAATATCAGAACAGAGTAATTGGAGAATATAAGGGTAATGAGTTTGTTCACCCTTAAAATATTTTTCATGGATTCTAAAGTTACAATTAATTGTTTAATACAGTTTTATCTGATTATAGTTATAATTAGAATTTACATTATAGAAAAATAATAAAATTTTTCCGATTATTTTTTTTTATAACTTAATCAGACTTACATCTTAAGCTGCAAGAACCTGTATAAAAAGTTATTCTAGGTAAGTCGTATGCATGTTGTGTTTGCGTCTAAGGATAAACACTTGATTAAAATGCTGAAATGGAATACATATAACGCTTTGAATAAAAAAAATGTTGGCCAATATATATTGGGAATCTTGATAAGAAGACATAGTGATTTTAGTTTTGGCAAAACATTATTATTGGTATTCGTATAGCTAAACAGAAAAAGGACCATTTTAACTCCCGATAAACCCAACTTATCGAATGGCAATTACAAATATAACTCACGAAAAAGTGATGGTGAATGAAAAAAAAATTGTTTCTTGATTAAAATAAACAACTTATAATATTTTTTTATTCAGAATATGCAACACTTACATTAGATTATAATTGACTTCAAACACAGATTCACCGTATCAGTTTACTTCAAACACTTTCCAACTCATAACGCATATTAGGCACTGGCAGCGTCAAGTTTGTGAAAAACAACCACTCGAAAATCGTGCTGCTCAGACACGGAGACCAATTACGACCGGCAGCAATAACAGCCGGCTCTAAAGCCAGAAACTCATCCCAGCCCGTTACCTTGCTCCTCCTTTTCAACTTCTTGAAACAATTAATTCGAATTTAAAGTTTGCGCCCATCGCGTGGCAGCGCCGCTCACCCCGTCCCTTCTTCTTATTCTTCTTCTTCTTCTTCTGCTTCTAACATGAAACTTTTGCCTGCGCAGGCAAGTGGAGCGCTTGTAACGCGACCTGCAGCGCCAAGTCAGGCCAGAAGCGCCGGGACGTCACTTGTCACGACCGACAGACCAACTTGGCCTCGGCTGATTGTAATCCTGAGAGAAAGCCACTAGAAGTTAGACGCTGCCATCACAAGAAGCCCTGCCCTGACGAAAAAATCGGTGAGCTCTTCCTTTCGTCTTCCCCTTCAACTTCTTCGGCATTTATGCTTAAAGAAAAAAAAAAAAAAAAAAAGTCTAGGCTTGCGACTAAATATCGGTCGACCGCAACCTGACGATCGACTGCTCACACTTTAGCGAGATCTGTTGGATTCGAGTTGTCAAACTGCCACTTAACTGCTTTTCTCTGATTACGAGCTTGTGTTCAAAGAATATTTTGTGTATGTTTATGGTGAACTTGACTAATATCTTTGATAAATTTATTGATATTTGTACATAAAATAGGTAAAAGTGGTCATGAGATTTTGTAAACAACAGTCATGGCTCACAAATTTACTTTTTTAGCAAAAATTAAAGTTTGAATTAAACACATCAAGGAATCTGGAACTTGATCCATCAATATGGAATTTGACAATATTAAAAAACATATTTTCAATCAATCGATTATGTTTATCTTTTCCAAGTTTCCAGAGAAAGTTATAACTTACGGAAAATAAAGAGCCAATCAAAATCCAGTGATCCAGTAAATAACGTATCGTACAAAATCGACTTAATTTAATACTTGTTTTCTAATTAAATTTTTGCTACTATTTTGTAAATAATAAAACTGACCATTTATTATTGGCTAAATTGACCCATTTCATTAGCTACCGGCCGAGTTTGCACTTTATTTGCCTCAAGTGACGAAGTAACACGATTACTATTGTTGCGTGGGAATACTGTATGTTTTAAAAATTATATGATGCACAAAGCGAGGGTGATAAAAAATAAAAATCACAAAAGTTAAAAGTTTCTACTTGCACTTATTATTCGAAAATCATTTGATCGTGCTAAGTGAAAAATTTTCGTGTATCTATAATAGAAAGCTAACTTACAGACCTGTTTTAATCAGTATCAAGATTTTAGTACTATGAAGTATACCTTGAAGCTATCAGAACAGTCTGTATACGCGACCTTTTGGTTTACTGTGCCCCAATGAAATCATAACAAATTATAACAAAATATCAAACTTGTTTTGATGGTTAATTTTTTAATAGTTCTGTTACCTACAATTTTCAACAAATTTTTTCAAGGTGTCATGTATCATGTATATACTAACATTGAAAAACGTAGTACAAGAAAAAGGAAAAATACGACTTATTGATATTTCAGGATGTAAGGACAGTATCGATCCATCCTGGATATGCTCGTCTTATCGGCCCATGTGCGACGCGTCGCCTATAGTTCGAGAAAAATGTTGTGCAACGTGCCTCAAGAGACGAAAACACGTTCGACATAATCGTCGCCAGGGCGTGGTGAATTGAAGTTGACTGTTTGCTCACTGAAGGGAAGTGCAACAAAAAATACGAGCAGAGGAGAAGTGATTCGCACTTGAATCTTCGTTAGCCATATTTTTTTTTTTTTTTGCTTAAAATTTTTTATAACTCAAACTAATAAGTAAAAAGTGGCAGTAATGCCTAAGAGCTACTGACGATTTTCAATTTTTAAAATGAGCTTTTCTAAAATGGTTAGCTAAAGGACAGACTATGAAGAAACACTGTTGCTTGTGATTTAATCTTATCATTTTTCGATGCATCTATTTTATTTTATTTTTATTATAGTTATCCCCTGGACGCTATGTGAAACCGTGCACACACCACACGAGATAGCGAAAAAAGCTGATATTGCTTAATGTAACGATTTGTTTTTTACAGTACCTTTTTCTTGGTATGTACCTTCTTTGCTATTATTTATTTTAAAGTTTTGCTACTTAGATCTTTTTATAATCATTGTAATTTGATTTCTTAAGATGCTAGATTTTTCTACTTTGCTTATTAAGTGAATCGATTGGAGCTGCTTGAAATGCCTTATTTATTTATATAATTCATTTACTGGAACATAAAATTTACTGTTAGATGTAAATGGTTGACATAAAATTTTTCATGTTGCGTTTTCATTGACGTTATATAAAAATTTAATGAATAATCTATGATTGAAGTAGTGTTAATTTTAAGTTGCACTTGAAATATTTGTATAAAAATTATCAACGATAGATATTTTCTACTGTACTAAAAGAAAATTAACTAATTATGTTTGAAACATTTTGGATTTGTAGATAAATGACTGTCAGTATGTTAAGGTAGTATTATCTATTTACAATTTATATTGAATGCGAATGAATGCATAATTTAAGCAAAACACATCAAATGAAGATTGCAAACAATGTGAAATTTGATTACTGTATTTTAATAAATTCCGTGTATGAACTATGTGTATCGTGATACGTGATAAATAAAACAGTTATTTTTATGAGTTTTTTTTTATTGTTACAAGGAAGAAATTCCATATCCATAATGCTACCTGATAAACATCAAACAGGATCAATAATTGCAGGATTATATGACCCAAATAGGATGGATAGGTTCACCTTCAATCGAAAAATGTATGAAGTTCCAATGTAGTAATGCATTTCATTTGTTACACAAACATTTCCAGTTTCAATTTAATAATTAGACTTGAAAGTTTTTCAATTTTTTTTAGAGATGATAATTTACTTGTTATTAATATTTTTTTAGCATGATAGAAAACAAAATAAAAATTTACGGAAACTTAAAATTAAAGTCGATTTTTCTTACACGATACAAACAAAATAAGAATATAATAAAAAAAGCAGTGCAAAAGTCAAAGAAAAAAAACAGTGATGAGAGATTCATTAATTGCATGATTCGTTAATAAAAATTCAAGAAGACAATCACGATTGCTTGAACATGTACTTATTCATTTAGGAACATGAAAAATATACAATTATTTTAAAAAGTAGAAGAAAGTTGCGTAAAAATGATGTTTCAGGTTGATACATGAAAAACTGTACTCAGAAAAAGTATTTCTTAAAAATAGTTATACTCAAATCTATTTTGTGTCTATTTCTTAAAACAACTATTATAAATAACTTTTTTTCTAGCAAGTAACAAAAGCATCGCTTGGGTTGAGGTTGGGTTGGGTTATTAGATAATTAATTACATCATAAAATTTATTGTGACTAAGCTCGTAAGGTGAATCATATTCGGAAAAACTAAATATATAGTATAAATAATACATCATCAACTAAATTCACGGAAAATTCTTATTCTAAAATATATAATTGATTAAATTAGAAAGAAAGAATATTATCTAGTTACCATTGTACTGCTCGAAACAGGCAATTTAGAATTCACCATACATACTGTGACGGTGAGATGCCGTCGAGCCATCATCGGTAGGCTAGGACCGATAGGGAAAGAAGGAAAAGGGGAAAACGAAGAGGACAGTCAGGAAAGGATGGAAAGGGAAGAAAAAGCCGAAAAGAGATCAGATTAGCTTGGGCCAGCGAACGCGCGTGAAGCGAATTTTTGTTTGCGGTTGCGAGAATCAATTTTCTCAAGGCGATTTTTCCCACCCACGAGAAGCGAATTCTGTTTTGGAGAACGTGAGACGCGTCCTCTGGAGTGTTTCCGTTCCTGCGATTGTTGTCGTGGCGGCTGTGCTTCAGCTGTCCCCGGTACAGTGTTTGGTGCTGAGTGTCCGGGTCCTGCTGGGATAGCAGACGACGCCGGACTTAGGGTCACCGAGGCCGATACCGTCGATCTCGGCCTTCGAACGCTCCCAGTAGGGACGATTAGCTCGCGTAGGTCTGCCCGGTTCGCGTTTTCGCGCCGCGAGCACGTCGAGCAAGCGCGCTCGACGTGCGAGGAAACACACACACGCACACACACACACACATCCACGAATATTTTCTTGTAATTATTTCGTACTCCTTGAATATACATTTTAATTAACAAAAAAAATACCCGCGAATGCTACTTCCTTTCTGTGTGTGCCCGATCCCCCTTCGGGCCGTGTTATAGTCGTCGCGAGAGGCGACGACGTTCAAGGTCGCCGATATACCTGATCACGCAGCGGTGTCTCGGCGAACGAGACCCGCAAAATATTTTACAGGGAGTGTCAACGAGGGTATCCAGGGAACACAGGCCCGGTCGAAGTGGAGAGACTCCGCCTCGTTCATCCGCGTTGTACACCCCGTAACAATACTAAATGCAGAAATTAATTATTTTACAAAAAATTTATTAAAAAAATTAAAATTAAAAGTTTCAAAAATATTATGGTCATTATATATTTCTAAATCGTTTTATTTTACTCCATCTTTTGTTTTTTTCTTTACTTTTGTTTGACTTGTTTTACCTTAATTGGAAATTACTTGTTGAATACAAATTTTAGAAGCTAAAATCTTCATTTGGGAATGACAAAATAAAGAATCAAATCATGTTCGACTATTTTACTCTACACACTATATTTTAATTAATAAGTATTTTATCAGTTGGGGTATACGACGTACAATAAAGAGAGTATGGTAAAAATAATTACATGTGCTTCGGAAGTTTGCAAGTAAAGCCTAGTTTGGTAGTTCTTCTTGATCTCTCAACTTACATTCTATATTAATATATTATATAATCATCATTTTATGATTATAAATGGTGCAAGATTGGTACGGAGCATATATCTGATGGCAAAGCCCCAATAGTATAAGTATTCGAGATACCCAAATACCTAGGCAAGAGAGTTGTTAATTCTTGTGGTAAAATCACTTGTTAGTTATCATGTGCTTCAATAAATGATAAATTTGAATTGATTTCTCATTATTTGAAATAACTATTCAAATGTATTTTATAAAATTATAAATAATTATACTATAGTCCCTAACTAATCATCAAGCGAGTTGAGCCTGTCTCATTTTTTTGTCTTTTCATCTAGTACAAATAATTCTTCATGTGCTACTATACAAAAAATACTATCATTAAAATAATTGCAAATGGATATTGATTTTCTTAACAACGGATATATGCTTCATATCACATTGGAAATGGAACACGCTCAGACTGAATTATTTCACATTCATTATCTGCACAATTATGATGGTTATGTTGATTATCACAACGTCTGGCGCAAAAAGTGCATTACAATATCAATTGTTAATCCTCACCTCAAACGTTTTTTATAGTCCAAGTTGTATCTTAGCATCCACAGGAAAAATGTTTGATCCTTGATTTTCTGCATACACTTATGCAAGATGGTCCCTTAAGAACGAATTGGCATAATTCCAGGTCGACAAATTGAGAGAAAAATGTTTAAATAATTTTTTTTTCTCTTTAAAAAATTTCTAGTCATATTTTGAAAAAAAATTTTTAAGTTTATTGACTATTAGATT